CAAGAACCACTGGACCAGAAAAACTGAAACTTATGTGGAAGCATCCTGGGGTAGTGTAGATTCTAAATTGTTCAAATCATGGCCCCTGGGGGGAGGGTGGGGCCATAATAGGTATTTCAAGGGGGGAGTCTGGTAATGAACAGCATGGCCAAAGTTACTCAGGTGAGCGATGTGGCCCATGGGCCTCTTGTTTTAAATAGTCTCCAGTAGCCGAGAAGAAGATTTTCAAAGAATCAATGCATTTTCACTATATAATCAATAGAGCCCCGCCCTAACACCAGAACCCCTGACCCTGGGGTCATGAAATTCACAATTTTTGAAAAGGCATCCTTATGCATCATAACCATGCACTTAGTTTTTTTAAATAATACCCAGGAGCAGAGAAGAAGATTTTCAAAGAATTAAAGCATTTTCACTATATAATCAATAGAGCCCCGCCCTAACACCAGAACCCCTGACCCAGGGGCCATGGCTTTCACAATTCTGGAAGAAGCCCACCTCCTCATCATAACTATGTACTTAGTTTATCACCTTAATGCCCAGGAGCAGAGGAGAAGATTTTCAAAGAATTAATGCATTTTCACTATATAGACTATATAGACACTAACACCAGAACCCCTGACCCTGGGGCCATGAAATTCACAATTCTGGAAGAGGTACTCTTGCTCATCATAACTATGTACTTAGTTACTTTATTAAATATCTAGAAGCAGAGAAGATGATTTTCAAAGAATTAATGCATTTTCACTATATAATCAATAGAGCCCCACCCTAACTCCAGAACCCCTGACCCTGGGGCCATGAAATTCACAATTTTTGAAAAGGCACTTTTGCTCATCATAACTATGTACTTAGTTACTTTATTTAATACCCAGGAGCAAAAAAGAAGATTTTCAAAGAATTAATGCTTTTTCACTATATAATCTATAGAGCCCCACCCTAACACCAGAACCCCTGACCCTGGGGCCATGAATTTCACAATTTTGGAAGAGGCATCCTTATGCATCATAACCATGCACTTAGTTCCTTTATTTAATACCCAGGAGCAGAAAAGAAGATTTTCAAAGAATTAATGCATTTTCACTATATAATCAATAGAGCCCCGCCCTAACACCAGAACCCCTGACCCTGGGGCCATGAATTTCACAATTTTGGAAGAGTCACTCTTGCTCATCATAACTATGTACTTAGTAACTTTATTTAATACCCAGGAGCAGAGAAGAAGATTTTCAAAGAAATAATGCACTTTCACTATATGATCTATATAGCCCCACCCTGGGGCCAGAACCCCTGACCCTGGGGCCATGAATTTCACAATTTTGGTAGAGGGCTCAATGCTTATTACAATGATGCCAACAGTTTGACTGCTTGATGTCCAGGAGTAAAGAAGAAGATTTTTAAAGATTGCATTATTTTTGGTGGTTTTAGCCCCACCCCTCAGGCCCCAGGGGGGCAGGGACCATGAAATTCACAATTTTTGTTCCCCTTCACCCATAGATGCTATATACCAAATTTGGTTGAAATTGGTTGAGCGGTTCTAGAGAAGAAGTTAAAAATGTTCAAAAGTTAACGCACGACGACGGACAAAAACAGATAGCAATAGGTCACCTGAGTGACTCAGGTGACCTAAAAATGCAGATACATTCTTTAAATCTTAATTTTTTATTACCTTTGAGTACAATTCTTTTTCTAATTCTTCCTTTGCGACAACACATTTTTCCAACCTCTGTAAAGAATAAAAATTAAAATAACACTTGGCATTTCCATTTATTAATACATGTATAGAAAAAATGTATAGGCTTTAGCATCATTTTAATTAATAAATAATTAAAATCAAGAAAGAGAATCATGATTTTAGGGAAAAAAAACCCAGAAATTAGTATTGATATATTGGCATTAGTCACAGTATAGTCCAAATATAAACATTTCACTGATAGCAATTTATACAGACTATATAAAACAATATAAATCTTTGCCAGATCTTGTTGTTTCTTTTTCTTTTTTTTTTTTTTTTGCTCATTACCAGACATTACTGATGGTTCAGAAATGAAAACAAAGCTATATACTTTGAAAAGCATACTCATTTTTTCCGACAGTTTGTTAGATTTTAAATCGCAAGAGTAATGAAAGTAGCAGGTCATAAGATGTTATTCATTAGGAAAAAAGTGACAATATGCTCAAATGTAATCATTCCAAATTATAATTGACTTTGTATTCATTGTTTTAGATTTTCAAAGAGAACAGGAAACAAATGGATCATCAGGGTTGTCCCTAAGACCCAGGGGCCAGGGAATTTCCCCGCCTATAATGACTATCTCCTGGTTACTCTGGTATTCCCCTCAACCCCCTAGTAGGGGAGGAGCATCAGACTCCCTTCAACTATTTTAATGTCCCCTGCTATTTCAATTCTTAGAGACAACCCTGGGTCATACAAAGGCTGTAATGGAAACATAAATGTAGTCAAACCTCATTAGGCGTAATAAAAAAATATGTTTGTTTACGGTTACCCGACTGACCCTATATTTACTCGCCGACCCAAATTTTTTTTTCGTCGAAAAAATCCAGAAGTCACTCACCGGACAGTTAAACTTTTACATGCATCTTAATCAGTCAACAGTTTGAAATCAAAAGTACTAGAAATAGACTATTTCTAGTACTTTCGATTAAATTATTATAATTTTTTTTCCCCAGGCCATTTTTGCATGGCGATACCGCCATGCATTCAAGATCTCCCGCCATGCATCAAACGTTGCTGCTATGCTTCCCGCTATGCATGAATTATTAATGGTATACAATTTTTTAAGAAGATGATTTACTTTGAATGCTATCAGTTTTTAATCTATTAATAAAACAATTCACTAGAATCCTACAAACATGTTGCGTACCTGTGGTGAACTCGATGCGAATCACGGTACGGCCGGGGTATGATGCAATAGCTGTCAATTCATGTTTATTGCAATTTACTGGTATGTTATTAAACATTAAGTTTTTATTTGATTAAAAATATTTATAACCATGAAAAATTAATTAATTGCTGTAAGATAGTGTACACCGTGAAAGTAATACACTTGTTATTGCACATGTGGGTTTTTCCAACATTTCCAGGTCATTCTATAAATAGCATTTATATGTTCAACATCAAAAAGGATTCATTAGTTAAACACATAATTCTTAAACCATTTTTAGCATAAATATATGCTTAAAATAAACATGTCCTATAAACATTATCATTGTTTATTTACTCTATGAACTATGGGCTAGTACTTCGGTCAAGCGCACGTGCTTTAATACACAATGACCTACATTCAACAGCCTTACATTGAAAAAAAAAAATCAGACACCAATGTAAACATGTTATCATTGGTGCTACATAGTGTGCACCCTTGACTGTAGAAGGACAGCCAGAAAATGAAGCAAATTAAAAAAAAAGTGGCTAATTAGAGGTGAATAAAAATACCTCCCCCCCCCCCCAAAAAAAAATTGATGTTTAGATCTATTTTTATTTAAAAAAAGAAAAAGAATTCAATTGTAAGTTAAATTGACAATTTATTCAAAATGTATTTATCATTTAAAACTTTAAAAAATATGTAAATGAATACTGGTAATGCATTTGTATTTTTCACTTAAATATAGATTCAGATACATGTACAAGTACATGTAACTCAACCGAGACACACTGTGCGCCGTCAATTCAACAAAATTCCCCCATGCATTAAAATTTGTCTGGGGAAAACACTATTTTATTTATTAGTCAGTGCAACATGGAATTAAAGAAAAAATACAAAACAGTTTTACCATTGTGTGGTAGCTGTAAGGCAGTTGGCAAGAAAAATATTTTCTATTGCCTATATGGCAAGCCCAAACAAAAGTATTTAAAGCATCACACAATGGTAAAACTTTTATGTATTTCAACCAATTCATGTGATTTCTAAATAAAAAAATTCAATAAAATAAAAAAAAATTCCTACCTACCAACCCTATTTTTTTTCAGCATGTAACAGTAAACAAACATATTTTTTTGTTTGGCCTTATCCCAAATTCAATTGGACTGAGAAAAAAAACTTCAGCATATCTGAAGAATTGAATACATTGCAGTTAAAACACTTAGCGAATAAGAAGATGGGACTTCCAGATCACTTCGACATATCCATGGTATTCAAGATATCAGTGTTCGAAATACTGAAGTTTCACTGTACATGATACATGTATACAGTTGAACTTCGGTATCTTGAACACTGATACATGTATCTCGAATACTATGGACATGTCAAAGTGATTTTGAAGTCCCAAGTGCTTATTTCTTCAGTATTTTACTCTGGATACCTTGAATCCTCAGATATCTCGAAGTATTTTCTCTGTCTCATTGAGTTTGAGATAACGAGGTTTGACTGTATCTTGATGATTGCTTGAACAGTCATGGCATTCCCAATGGCAAATATGCAATTTCATTATATACCCAAGTGTGTATCACTCAATTTTACTGTAGATTTTGTACAATCACATGACGGTGTGATCCGACTTTCCGGATCACCACACTGTGGTTTTCTGAATCCGTATCACCCCTCTCTGAAATTGATGACATATAACACAGAAACAAGACGTTATTTTTCTTGCGCATCAAAAAGTTCCTTGAAAAAATGCTTTGTTTAATGGAAAAAATATCATATAATTAATCTCAAAAGTTTTTAAAACTATATTTTGCTAGTTGTAAGGGGGGTTTATAATAAATTTATCATTTATTTATAACAATTACTTGATCCGAAGAGCACTATAACGTCTCGTTCACAGGCTTGGATCAAGATGCTTCGCGTCTCATTTGATCTGATGATCCGCACCTGTCAACTTGACATGATACGGCTCTTCGGATCAAGTTACTGTTATAACAATATATATTTACCCATTTCTTAGAGACATTCTTTCAAAACCAACATTTGCAACACCAACAAGAATTATGAAACATATACTATGCACATACCTTGAGGGCATTAGCCCTTTCCTGTGTTATTCTGTCATAATCTGTTTGTAGGACTGAAACCTTTTCTTTGAGTTCCCTCTGTCTTTCTATACAGTGGTTGAGGATTTCACACATGGACTTTGAAGGGTCCTTTGCTGGTTTAAGGGAACAACTCCCTAACATGTACTAGCCAAAGAAAACATATGATTGAATAAAGATCACTGATCAGAAAAAAAAAACACTCAGGTACATGTATTATTATTGTATTTCTAAATGTGAAAGTAACTGATGAATATCGAATGTTTGTCACAGCTGCTTTCTTGATGATAAGCATATAGTGAACATTTATTATCACCAAAAAAAATATTATTATACATGTATGTATATAATCATTTATCTAAAGTACATGTATTAATTAATACTTAAAACATGTATATATTTTTAACAGCTTCTAACCAATGGTTCTCTGTTTACTCTCGTCTCAAAGAACTGCGAACGATAGTATTGTTCTCCCGCCTACCTCCAAGTCAATTTTCAAAAGTTAACACATTTGAATGATTTTTCATATTTATATAGATATTTATATGAATTTTCATAAAACATTACTTCTTTCAGAAAACAAAGAGAGATAACTCTAAAATATTGGTAAAACTTGTGTTTTTCACTATAGAAATCAATGGAAAACGGAAAATATTTTTAAAACATCCCCCCCCCCTTCCCGTGAAACAAACAAAAATCCCTTTTAACAGATAATATGGACTGTCATTTCACAAATTTATACCAAAGCTTTTTTTTCAAACAAAGACATATGTTTATAGACAAAAAACTACAAAAATGCTTTAATTTTTCACCAATTTCAAAGGGGTTTACACCTGAAACACTGTATTTTATTAATAATCTATGTTTAATTTTATACGCATAAAACATAAGAAAAGATTTAATTAAAAGAACAATTATTCATATTCAAGAATATTTTAAAATGTGATGATGCTTTAGAGTCTGATTTCAATGGAAAATATCATCTACCCCCTTATTTAAAGAGCTGGAATTAGGGGTAACTACCTAACTATTTAACACTGGCATTAAAATTATCAGCCAACTACCATGCATTGTACTGTTCTTTGCATTCAACAAAGATTTTACGGCCAAATTGACATTAGTATTGAATTAAATGGGTGTAAAATGTAGGCAGGAATCGAGAGTTAGCATGCGTAGTTCTTACATGTGACAGAAAACAAAAAAATGTGATGACCTAGATCAAAATTCAAATCTGGGGCCCTGAATTCAGCAATATATATATACACATGTCCTATCAACTAAGATACAATATACATACTATTTATGTATCTAATAGCAAACAACATAGAAGCCAATCTATTTGATGAACCATTGAACAAACAATTAATGCAAATGGCTAATTCATAAAACTTTATACAGGGTTCGACACTAACGTTAGTCCGTTAGTCTCAGACTAACACATTTTCATTCGGACTAATAAAATCTGTGGCTAATTAGTCCGAACGGACCAATAAAAATTTCTGGAAAACAATATGAATAAATTACCAATGTCCGATTCTCGACAACTTTTACTGGAAAACCCCGCGTGTATTTTTAGATTTCTAGCTTTTGGCGGGTAGTTACGCAATTCCGAGTCAATTCCGTTTAATTTGTCGACTGATGGATATGAAGTAAAAGGTCTTTAGATCATGATTTAGTATGACACTTTAAAGAAAGATGCTGGACGTTTTGGATGTAATGTAAAGAAAAAAAGGAGATTGGGAATACGATCGTACTTGCTGATATCGAGATATCAACGAATCTGTGGAATAATATATTTCACGTAAATACTTTGTTTATTTCAAAAAAGTATAAAACGTATATTAATTGTCAAGTTAAATTAATGTTAAAAATCATTGATGTTTCTTTTTTTTTTTTTTTTTTTTTTTTTTTTTTGACGGACTCATAAAATCGTGTGCGGACTAGTTAAAGTAAAGAAGCACTAGTCCGGCCGGACTAAAGCCTTAAAAAGTTAGTGTCGAACCCTGTTTATATTAGCATTTTTTGTTGTCAACACTTACAGTCAGGTCTTCATCTGGAGCATAATACCACTGGAACTCTGTTCTCTTTGGGTTAAGTTTGTACTCAAATGACCAGCCTGAGGAACTTTCACAACTCAAAGCATCTTTTGTTTTCTTTAACAGAGATTCATAATCCATTTTCAGGGTTTTCCTCATTTCTTCAATGTCATCTTCATCAACTTGAAATATGTAAATAAAATTTAAAGAAAAAATACTGCAGATTCCTTATTTACAAGTACTTAATATTGCAAAGTGACACACAGATGTCAAATCGCAAAATCATGAGTTAGTTAAGCAATTCGACGGTTGGTCAAGAGTTTTTACATATTTTTCATCAATGTAAATAAAAGCAAGTAATTTTATTTGACATGTTTGATCTCAAAACTGTTAAAACAATGATGGAATCTGCATCTGTCTCTGTTTATATAAAAGAGTATTTGAGGTAAGTTAGGGGCAAACATGTAACAGGTTTAGAAAGTGAAACAGCTAGGCTATCAAGATTCCTAATAGCATTATAACATTCGTCACTGAAATTCTTGACTGACACATTAAATGAAAGAGAATTCTTACATTTTCCTTTCCATACTTGGCTTCCATCTGAGATGGACAGTAAAAATTCGTCAGCATCTTCATTTTTATAATTCACAAGGAGATATACACTGTCTCCCGTAGATAATTCTATCCTGTTGAAAAAAGTTGCCATCACTTCATAAATGTTCTATGGTCCAGCACAGACTGGAAGTATTTTCGAACTAGGATACCTGTAATTCAGAAGAAAATTTGGTTAATTAACTTTTCGACTCTTTTATTTAATTTCACAAATTGACCATGTAGCTTACCATGTATTAAATTAAAACTTAATAAAAAAGTAATCATATTCACCAGAAGAGAAAGCTTTCGTCGTCGTTTGACGTTTCTGATCAAAACTGGTGTGACGCTTGAAAATGAAAGTGAAAATAGATTAGGGCATCAGACATGTGTAAAAATAGGACTTGCCACTTTGTTCTTTTTCATCTGAAAATGTATCGCGTACTTTGAAGGCCTAACAGTGCTTAATATATAGCAAAATATGTTAAAGCGAGACTCAAGAAAGGTCATTGTTACAACATTGCATTTTGTTATACTACGCAGGCCCGTAGCAACGGTTCAAAAGGGGGAGGGGGATGGGGGACTCCCCAAAATATTATCTGACAAGCAAAAAAAAAAAACAAAACAAAACAAAAAAACTAAAAACAAAAAAAACCCCCTAATTTACTGTCCAAATCTTGGAATTTGCCAATGCTTTACCTTACAACATCAAAATGTGTGTGTGTGTGGGGGGGGGGGGGGGAGAATCTAAGGGAAAATTTACTATAGCAAAATACTATACTCAGAAAAAGTTTGGAGGCCTCCATTTGCGTTCTACGGGCCTGCCACGGGTGCTTGTGGAAGGAATCCCCACCTCACCCGCGATTAAAAAGTGCATGTAAAAATCCCATTTTATTATTTGGATTTTTAATATTAATTTTATTGTAACTTTATGCTGAAAGAACAATACATGTATATGACAAAATTGGAATTTCTTCGGGATGTTATTTATGTCTCTGGTTGGGTATTTTTCGTGAATGCTTGGTCAATCCGAGCCCCAAAATGTATAGCATTTTCACAAAAAAGCAGGTTTCCTTTGTGCAAGTGTCCAAGTAATTTGAGCCTTGAACACCGAAGATAGAATGTGCCTTAAAAACTGTTCATAGATTGTATGGAACCATAAGGGGACTAGCATTTAATTCTTATGGGGGAGGCGTAGGAAATAAAATAATCTGTCCTCGACAATGTTGAAAATAAATAATCTGTGGTGATACTACTACTACTATACATGTACCACTACCCCCCCCCCAACACACACACCTCCCAACGGAAAAGGGCTCTGGAGTTTGGCAGTTTTCCTTCTTTTTTTTTTTTTTTTTTTTTTTTTTTTTTGATTTTGATTTTTTTTGATTTTTTTTTTACTTGATAAACTTTTTTTTTTCAGGGAATTTAAGAAGAAAATAAATAATAATCTGTCCAGGGCTATGTTGGAAATAAATAATCTGTCCTTACTCAGTTACTAGTATGGAAATATATAATTTGACTCGACCCCCCCCCCCTTTTCAGAATGAAATGGTCTTTCCTTAAGTTTGCTCGTAACTTTTAGTTTTAAAACTACATGGATAGTTCATCATCTTATTTGGATACAATAGCAGTTTCAAGTCTTCAAAAACCAAGGTCATATGATAAGGGAATAAAGTGTGAAATAATCGCCCAACCCATAACAATAATACATGTTACTGTCTGACACTTGGTAAAAAGACAGATGGATATCAGCTAGAATAGTATCATCCAAGGTCATTTTGACGTAGTCTAGGTCATAAGGAATGGGTGTAATGATGATCGGTGTGAAAAAAAAATGTGAATATTTTTAGAAGTTAGTTTTTGTACTTTATCCATCGTATTTAAAACCGTGTCTGCACCTAGGGTACTTTAATCAAATAATAATAATAATAATAATAATAATAATAAAGTGTATCTAAAAACACTGGTCCCTGCCTTTAGACGATATTACATAAAATGTTTGGTGTTCTGAATATTTGAGACACACAATTTACAAGCTTTATATTAGTGATCGCAAGAAGTTGTTAGTTCCTGTTTTCAGGGAATACTACTTAGTCAAATGGTATTCAGTCGTGATACGTACAGGGCCTAGAATATTTTGTTACAAGTTGGATGCAACTAAAACAACGACCTTACAAGTATATCATTATATGTGCACAGTTACGGTATACCTGTATGTTCAAGGCATATACATACTCATCATCACGTAATATTTAATATTACGAGTAAATACTTATGGTTTCACTGAAATCTGATACATTTTTTTTGGGGATAACTCAGGCGTCTGCTATGCCTAGTGCAATTATTCTACAGGCGCGGATCCAGGATTTTTTCCCGGGGGGGGGGGGGGGCATCCCAGTCAAAAAAAAACCCAACAACACGTAAAATCCATTTCCTAAACGTAAAAAACACCTTTTTCGTAGTGGTGATTGTGGGGTCCACATTTTCTGGGGGGGGGGGGGGGGTCCAAAGTCATTTTTTATTTGCTTCAGTATATAATTTTTTATAACTCTGCAAATTCCAGGGGGTGGGGGTGGGGGTCCTGATCCCCCCCCCCCCCAGATCCGCGCATGTTTTATATGTGATTCTCTTTGAAACAAAACAGACGTGTACATGGTTGTGAAATAAAAAGCTTGATCAAATTCTAATTTTTAAAAAGCTTTGATTACATTTATTACACAATTCTTATTTTATAATTATAGAAACGTAACAAATTCCCCAATTCAATCTAGTATTTCTACGACGTAATTGCAGACCGTATCAAATTTGTCATCTGAGTATATTTTTAACCTCTGTAAAATGCACAATGTAACTGCATGCAAACACAACTATGAACAAAAGAATGGCCACGTTTTAAAGTTTAAATCCATCCAACTGTATATTGTTGTTATCTTTTGATCCACATGTTGCGAGTCTCAATACCCGTCTAACAATTGATTCAGCGACACACAGTACTATCAGATGTACTGAATTCAAAAGAAACCAACCCGGATGTTGTGATGTATTTCAAAACACATTCTTCTTTGTACAAGACTAGTTAGCCATAATTGATTACAGAAGACAAGATTTCTTCATCTTCCTCGTAATTACTAATAAAAGTGGATTATTATACTGTGATAAAAAATGATTATGCAAATGGTTTGGGAAATTCTGATGATTTTATCGGTAACTTTAACGCTCTCAGTTGGTGAAGAGATTCCAGATCTGACGGTCGCTTTTCAGCAATATGTATCTGCCTGTACTTCTAGTCGTCTTTGTTCTACAAGTTGGAATGTTTCCCCTCCTTTGAAATCCAACGTTACACTTCCAGCGGCTTGTCCTCAGTGTGACTGTGACAAGTCTTGTGTTTTAAGAGGAACGTGCTGCCCAGATATTCTGTTCTCCGGAAAGGCTATTCCAAAGTGTGTGGATGTGACCGTTATTGGAGATGGATCAGTCCAGTACTTCATGGTTCCTTCGTGTAACAAACAAGACTCATGCGAAGAACAACCGTTTGATGCCAGAATAAAATATACCCCTGTGAGTTCCCTAGAGACATTTTATTCGTATCAAACGAAGGAAGTTGCGGAAAAATATGAAAATCCTGATTCTTTGAGGCAGTGGGGAGTAGAATTCATTTGTAATAGTTCAGTTGATATTAACTTTATTTCGGATTATTCGAAACTTTTAGAAACTGTTAAAGGAGAGGATTGCAGGGTTATGTATACTCCAAACAACTTGGTCCAGGCCAAGAAATGCAGCCCTCAAGTCAATACAGTGAGTCTTTGCAATACCACAGGACTTTGGGAAACATATGACCCAGGCGTTGATTGGGCATGCTCAAATCTTTTTCATCAATCTGGACTTTTCGAGAACATTTTCTGCCGCCTTTGTAATCCATCAAGGACCTCACAAAGTGAAGTATCTTTGATATCGGTTTGCAATGAAACTGGATTATGGAGGAATTTTAATAAAGAAATTGAAGAGGCCTGTACGTTAGGACAAAAGTCACATGTCACTTACCCCTTTAAGAATATATTCTGTCGAATATGCAATACTAACAGTGAAAAACAAATGCTTTACAAAGAAGTGAAAGGATTCATCTCGGAATCCATTGGAGAACATGGGTATATTTACCATGTCAACATGACAGCTTTCACAGAAGAAGAAGTAACTAAACTTAAACAAATGTTCGAAGCAGACACCGTTTCACGGAGTTACTCAAACATGATTTGGAGAGATGGGCAGTGGAAAAATAAATCAAACCTCATAACACAGTATCAAGCGATAACCGGAGGTAGCAAATGCAACCAGACCATTGTATATAGTTGTATTTGCGATCCATCATGTTTTGAGGACTTATCGAAGAATTGCTGCATTGATTTCCTTCTTGAATACATCATGGATTCTCCAGTATTCAAATATGTAAAGAATACCTCATTACAGAGCCTTGTTACTATATCATCATGCAATGTTAAGAATGTTTTTACAACCAAATGCCTCAATCCATCGGATGACTTTATGGGATCTTTCCCAGTGACAGATTTATCAAAAAACCTTCATTTCCGCAGTGTCTACTGTTTTCTGTGCAATCAAAGGAATATCTCTGACTTTACAAGCATTGAGAATGTTGTACCATGGAATATTACCATCAACAGTTCAGAAATACTGGACATTCAGTTCTACACTTCAGTTATGGATATCACAAAAATAGTACATCTCTCCAAACATGACGTAATACTGTCTCCTCGTATATCTCTCTGGCCAAAGAGACCAGAGAGTGGGTTGGAAAAGAGAACTTGTAATAGCACTGGAAAATGGAAAACACTTGATACCGACATATCATGGGCCTGTACTTCATTTTATCTTCCGTTTGAAACCTATTACAACGCCTTCTGCAAAATTTGTAATCCTAGTGTAGGATCCCCAAGCCAATTCAAAATATGTAATGTCACGAGAAGGTGGGATCTTCTGGATAACGATATCAGGAGTGCCTGTGCATCATTTCCGGAGATGAGTGCTTCATTTCCTTTCAAGAATCAGTTCTGTAAATTCTGCAATTTTCCTTCCTCGACCTATCTAGAAATTATAGTACAACCTACTAAACAGACCCCCCACGCGTCCCTTCGTGACATCTTCAGTGTCTTCAGTGTGTCTGAGAGGGAAGAGACGAAGGCATGCAGCCAATTTCACTTCCGAGATGTAAGGGTATGTCTTCTTATCATATTTTATTATATTCTTAAGAAGAAATTAAAATTAGAATGCATTTAACACTTTTTAAATAACAATTAAGAAAACATGTTTCAGTATCATAGAAAGCTGTGAATAAATTAATCTGAATATTGTTTATTATGTAGGATACCTGTAGAGAAATGAGATGTTATCCAGGGAAAATTCTCACTAAAGATGGATGTATTCCTCTGCTTCCAATCACAAGAAATCTCAATTACACTGTCTACTTTAGTGCCTCGATATTAAATAATTTCACAGGAAAAGCTGTCGCTGAAAATCTGATGTCAGAATTATTCAATGTCATCAAATCAATAACAAATGCTTCAAACTTTATATACCATTCAAAAGCCAAAGAATTGACGATTAATGGCAACACGACTATTGACATTGAAATTAATTTCTTTGTGAAAGATATGATTCAAAGGTTAGAGTCAGAAAAGTCGCTCCTGGAGTTATGGGAAAAACCCATGAAATATTTACAAAAGGAAAATCCATTTTATTCTGATATTTTATATTTTCTAACACCAAATAAAACCAATTTTGACAATCAGACAAACCTTTTAGCAGAAAAAAACGAGCCACAAAACGTTTCTCAAAATGAGAGACCATATCGTAACGTCATAATTGCCCCAATTATCCTCTGTGAGCAAGTTGAACTGAACGAATTTGAAATTGATTCTAGTGACAAAAGTCGGAAGTTGATCAGGATTATCCAGTCAGACGTCACATTGGAAGAAAGTGATTACTATATCACCGAAAATCATAGCTATGCCGTATGCCTCGACGTGATATGTGCTGATTCCAACTGTGAGGCGATGGTTTCGGAAATAAAAGAATCGGCTCTACAAGAAGCCTTGCGCATATTCACAATTGTCTGTACTGTCCCCTCTCTTCTGTGTCTCATTTTAACATTCACTCATTATTGTCTTTTTAAGAAGCTCCGTACATTGCCAGGGATACATGTCATGTCGCTTACAGTTTCATTATTTTTCTCTCAGTTTTTCTTTCAATTTTTTCTTAGAAAAGATTTCCAAGGCGACGCAGGTTGTCAGATTGTAGGAATGGTCATTCACTATTGGTGGATGGTGATGTTTTGTTGTTATGGCCTCAACGGATATCTTATGTTAATGGCTTTCAGGGGCAGTTTCACATTTCGTTCTGACGATCGGCGAGTTAACAAGAAACACTTTGCTTTTTCATATGGACTTCCACTGGCTATTGTCCTGCTTACTATAATTATCAATTCCGCTGCCTCTGGAGATACAGGATATGGTTTAAATTCCATATGTTTTTTAAACAACAAAGTTTCTTTGATAGTTACATTTGTGTTGGTGATTGGTATTATTTGCTTATGGAATATTGTGGTGTTTTGTGTCGTTGTATACAAACTCCGTAAGTACCAATTGCAGCAGCTAGAATTGGGAATAGATCAAGCTGGCAAAGGAATGTTTTCCACTTTTGTCAAATTATTCACCATTTCAGGTATTTCTTGGATATTTTTCTTGGTTGATGCGTTTATTCCAGAGATCACTATCTTTTCTTTCATTGTAACATTTGTAAACTGTCTGCAAGGTGTCCTGTTGTTCTGTCTAGAAGTTTGCAGCAAGAAGTCCCGAGATATGTATAAGAATTTCAGGGAATCGAGACAGAGAACACGACCACGTCAGTCATTTTCGCAAAACAGACGAAGTGTTTTGGATGAAGCCAGAAGAAGAACTATACGAGATCGGTCTGACAGTTCTGAATACGACAATTCGGCCTTTTCCAGCTTTAATGACGACAATAGCACCACAATTACCTCAACAACATAGTTTGCTCTCCTAACATCACTAAATAATTTACATATAGAGACTTATACTTAGTACCTACATTATTTAGAACTGACCTACTTTGGTCTTCTCAATACACCTCTTAATGTTATACTGATATATTATACCACTTGTTCGTCTTCCAAATTCTATGTATATCCTTTATATGTTTTGGAAATTGTACCGTTATGTTGCAAGTTTTGAATTTACTTGATATTTTATCATGTCAATTCTGTATTTACTTTCACGGTATGACATCTACCTTATTCAACATACACAACAAGCTTTTGTAGAATCAGTTTGTGTTTTAGACATTTTATGGAGAGACAAACTTGGCTTTAGAATGAAGAATGTGTTTTTTTTTTATTTTTTGCATATAAAAATTTAGAGGTTATCTTTCATTCCATTATTATCTACTTCATTCTTTTTTCTTTTTTTTAAAGGTATTTTTTTTTTTGTTTCGTGCATATTTCAGTTTTATTCCAGTTTTACAATTTTGTTTTCATTGGAAATTGTTTGGCTTTCGACATTAGGTCAATAGGACATAAAACATAATTGATTTTTAATGAAATCGTTGATAAGTGGCGATATTTCTGATTGGTATAGGGTTTTATGTTACCTCTTCACGCCATAACTTCTTTTATTACGACAGGAAAGCCTTATGTGTTTATATCTTCTCTAAATATTATAAACATTATATGATTTTTTTCTCTAAAATTTCATTGAAAACTCTATACATGTATTATTATTGTATAATGCGATTTATCATTGTATAATGCAATGTTCTATGCATTTGTTAAATTTTAATTTTAAAATAAATAATACAACTTTATTAAATCTGTGTTGGATCATATATAATGTATTAAAAATAGATATCATTCTTTAAGAATGTGTGTCTAGGTGTCCCCCATGGAAAGATGACAGGGGATCAATTTCCTGCCCTTTTTGAACAACTTGAAAACCAGTATAATGGCTGATAAAAATGTACCTTGTATCGGAAAAGGTTTAATGTGAATTGTTTTTGCACTTCATTAGGTAAAATGAATCTGATATTTTTGTAAAAAATAACTCCATATGAAGGACAATTATTCCATATGAAGGATAATTATTTCACATCTAAATGCGACATTATTCCTTGATTAAATATTGAAACATGCGTATATATACAGTGGTCTTATTCATGAATGGTAATGCAAAACTTTAAAACAAACTGACGAATTCCATAGAGTACATTAAATTTAGACCCTAGACCCGACTTTTATTCCCACTTCTTTTTCCTGCCAGTATAATTGCAGCATATGAACTCGATTAATAATGTCTACTTTAAAATTCCCGCTGAAATTCCTTTTGCAATTTTTGTTTTCAAAAAATGAGAAAAGTACAATGTTAATGACTTCATAATTATTTAACAGACTGCATGTTTTGCAATGACTAAATATAAATATTATACTTTCATGTAAATTAGTTGAATCTGATTCGAGATACTTTTGTAGAATACATTATTACACTATAAATGGCTTCAAATAATATTAAACGTAGAGATATTTTTAGCAGATGTCGAAATAAATGTGATATTACTTTTTTTAAAAATGTACACAAAGCAAAAAAGACAAAACGTTTGGAAAACTGAATGGGGATTTAAAGGGGGGTTTAGTTCAAACAGTAGCAGCAGCAGAAGAGTTGCAATTTTATTTAAAAATTCTTTTGAATTAAATTATTTAGAGAATTTATTGACACAGAAGGGATGTTTATTATTCTAGATTTAAAATATTTCGATTAAAAAAAAACAACTTTGGTTGCTTTATATGGTCCAAATGAGGATCCAGACTTTTATACGCCAATTCATCGAAAGATGGAAGCAAATGGCAATGTCTCTATTATAATCATCGGAGATTTCAATGTATCGTTAGATTATTAAAAAGAAGCTAGCAGTTACATCAAAGTAATCGCAAGACCAGAAAACGTATTCAAAAATAAAACCCGACTGGGATCTGATTGACATATAGAGGGAAGAATAACCCTGATATGTCAAGAGTTACATGACATGGTCCGGAAAGCAAGCAGGCTAGACAAGCATATTTGTTTAAAATAAAAAAAAAATACAAATTAGTGGAAGAGGTAACTGGAAATTTAATAATAGTTTACTATTAGATCAAACCTATGTCAAAACATATAAAAACATTAGACAATGTATTTCCTAAACCATTTCTCAACATGAAACAAATAATAGCGGAACCATATGATCAGCTACTTTGGGAAACTTTAAAAAATCATGACAAGAGGCAAAACCATGTTCACTTCACTTCAGAAACGCAGTAGAGAGAAAATAGAGTCAGGACTTGGGGAAAAATAATAAATCTTTACAGAGGAAATTAAATTATAATAAAATCAATTAAACAGACAAGGTAAAAGGAATTGTAATCAGGACAAAAATAAAATGGAATGTAGAAGGAAAGAAAAGTACCAAATATTTCTGTAACCTGTAAAAGAAAAATTATACGGAAAAAAATATTCCCAAACTTATGATCGATGATTTGGAAATCGCACGACTCTCAGAAATTTAAAAAGCCCAGGAAAATTTTTATATAGCTTCATATACTGTCAGTACTATCAGCACAAAAGACATGGTAAAAGTTTTTTAGACACTAAAATGAGTATTTTGTAAATTGATTCATTGAAAACTCACAGGTGAAGAAAAAAAAATAAACTAGAAGGTCAATTTATAAAAGAACTTTTGCATCTCGGAAATGAAAAAAAGAAACTGAAAATGATGGCTTTACTTCTGGAAAGATATTTATAAATATTTGTAAAAGTCTATAAACTATATTTCATATATAATGAAATAGGCGACCAGTATATAGAGAATATTACATACTAAAATCCATATACCTAGTCATATCAGCCCGAGTGGCCCCATATCAGCCCGAGGGCTGATATGGGGCCCGGGGGCTGATATGACATATGATATGGATTTCAGTATGTAGTATTCTATTTATCATATATTTAAAATACTTAATATGCGAGTTCACATAAAGTCATTGAAGAATGTTTCGTGCATGTTTATTACCTTTTTCTTCAAAATATAATAGAACCAATTTTAGGTCTTTGAAAACAAATTAACTCCACAAATGTTAGTAAAGAATTATTTTACATGTATATTTAAATAAAATCAAATTAATAAACTTTTAAACGTTATACAAACGTTACTTCCGGTTTGATATGGATTTTTGCACGCCGGTCCGATACGTGATATGGGGTATTGTGACGTTACCCGTATCGCAGAGCACAGAATCGGTGTATTTACTACTAAGTATATGATAAATCTTTCTAAAAGTTGATTATAAATTAACTTCTTTGTGCATTTTCCGTCTTTCTTTACAATGTAGGCAAAGGTGTAAAACAAGGGGACCCTCTTTCGCCATACTTATTTATTCTTGTGGTAGAGCTCCTTAGTGCCTCCTTAAAGAGAAATCCAGATATGAAGGAAATAAATATTAATGAATCAGAAAAAAGTTTATCAGCCAATATGCAAACGATACCTCTCTAGCGCCCGCAAATGAAAAATCCCTTAATTCAGCATTAAAATATATAAATATAAACTCCTTTGCTTCCTCTGGACTGAAACCTAATTTTGAACTACAAAAAAAAAACCAAACTTTATGGATTGGGGGAAAGGGGGGCTGTGGTCATGAGATAAAAACAAAAGAAAACATAAATTGGAACCAGGATGAGAAATTTAAATTCCTAGGTATCACTTTTGAATTAAACAAACCTGATATTACTGTCGTGTCGTCGTTTTGGTTGACGGAGCTTATTTGGGATTTTTCTACTCGCTGGCTTATGGGAAACTCTTTATAGTACTAATTTCTCTACTTATAGCTACCAGGTCCACCTTAGGTTTGGGTGCACTGTAACAAGGAAAAGCACAGCATGGATGAAATTAAAAACGATGTAACTTTATTAACGACTCCAGATAAAACGAACAAGTAGCCACTAAGTACGAATAACATAAATCATTATGCAATGCTCGTAGCATTACATACAAGGGTGCCCTAATCTACTACTATTGAGAATACACACAAAAAAGTCATGTGGCAGATTTTGTTTAATAAAAGGAAATATGTCAGAATGGACATTACTTACAGTAATCATTGTAATTATGAAGAAAAGTTACAAGCTGTCAAAAAGCTTCTTCATGAGAAGAATTGGAGAAACCTCACGTGTGCACATCGGAAAAGTTACAGTGCTCAAAATATTGGTTTTTCCAATTCTTGTACAGAATTTTACAGTTCTTCCGGACCCTCCTCCTGATTTTTTTAAACTTTAAAATACATATATGTTTTTTGAATTTATAATGAAAGGTAAACGAGTCAAGATCAAACGTACTACTTTGTATAATTCATTAGAAAACGGAGATCTTAAGGCTCCTCATCTATAGCATGGGTCAAGAAAGTTGTTCATTCCGATCACGATACAAACAATATGTGGTATTTCAGATACGAATGTTTAGAAACCATTTCCCCTCAAAAATAATCCATTTTGGAAATGCGTATTAATTGCTCAAGGAAAGGTTGGTCAAAACTCTACCACATTCACTGAGCCCCTTGTGAAATTTTAAGTCACCAATACGGTTTAATCATGATCGATATAAAAGTCGAAAAAAAATATATGCATTACTAAATGTATATTTTCATTGATAATTTAATCACGAAAAATTGTGATTTCATGAATTTCAACCAGTTTCAAAATACATCTAAACTGAATATAAATTTTGTGGCATATAACGGATTATTATCACTTATTCCTATAGCGTTATGATTTTATATTTTAGTTTTTGACCATAGCACTACAGATCCCGTAATGTAAATCAAGTGCAATTTACGGCGCAAGATATTCTGCGCACTTTGGGGATGTACATGTATTTCGCCACTTTCCATCATTTGTCAATCAACGACCTTTCATCCCCGAATACTAGACATATTTTATAGCCAACCTGTATATTTTATCCCTCTCCTAACCCCTTATAGTCGTTTCTAAAACTAATAAACTCGCTTGTTGTGAATTTGTTGTTGGATGGCATAACGAGTCTATTGGTCTGTAGATACGACTATAAAGGGTTAGGAGATGGATAAAATATACAGGATGGTTATTAAATATGTTTAGAATTAGGGGATGAATGGTCGTTGATTGACAAATGCTGGAAAGTTGCGAAATACATCCCCAGAGTGCGCAGAAAATCTTGCGCTGTAAATTGCACTTTATTTACATTACGAGATTATGTAGCATGATGGTCAAAGACTAAAATATAAAATCATAACGCTACAGTTCTGCAGCTTTAATTCCTAAACACTAGAAACAAACGATTAAACATCACCAAAGGTTAAATGAAATGAGAATCTTTTGAATTTATACTTTATAAAAAATTTCGAAGTTACAAAATATTTTATATAAGATTGTTGATAAGATATAGCAGCGTCCCCTTCAATGGCTTTTAGAAAATTGGAGGAAACACTTTCAATACATATATTCCAGAAAATAAATGGAAATACTCTTTCTCTTTACTTTGTATAATTACAGAGAACACTTTCATGTTTTCAGTTTAAGCTTTACATCAAATATCTTTTTAACAAACAGCAAACTTATGAAATGCTAATCAACTAAAACAGAACTTTGTTCTTTTTGCCATGATACTTAACAAATAATTACTCATGTGTTTGTGTCCTTTTTCCATAACTATCTAGTCTAATTCAAAAGATAAACTTCGAAACAATTAAACTTACTCCTGAAGAAATTATATTTGGAAATAACAGTTCTAATGAAACTGCTTTCAGAACCTTGAACATGATGCATGACTACAATTGTGTAGTGAAAACTTTGATCAAAATTTTATTTAAAAAAATAAAACAAAAAATGTTGATATTGTTTCAGCAAACTTTGGATTTTTTTTTTGACACAAAGCAAAGCTGCAACACTTACCCTTCGGTGGCACCTATAGGCCTATTAGCGCCACATTTATGGGGACTGGTATATGACGTCACAAGACTGTCAACTTTGTTATTGATAAAGATGTTGCCTAGTTTTTCCTAATAAAAATTTAACTAATAATAGTAAAAGATTTATATATACCAGTTAGCAAACATATTTTTAGCTCACCTGAGCCGAAGGCTCAAGTGAGCTTTTCTGATCACATTTTGTCCGTCGTCCGTCCGTCCGTCTGTCCGTCTGTCCCTCTGTCCCTCTTTCTGTCTCTCTGTCCGTTCGTCTGTAAACTTTTCACATTTTTGACTTCTTCTCAAGAACCACTGGGCCAATTTTGACCAAACTTGGTACAAAGCATCCTTGGGTGAAGGGGAATTTAAATTGTTAAAATGAAGGGCCAAGTCCCCTCACAAGGGGAGATAATCAAGAGAAGACAAAAATAGGATCGGGTCATTAAAAAATCTTCTTCTCAAGAACCACAGAGCCAGTAAAGCTGAAACTTATATGGAAGCATCCTGGGGTAGTGTAGATTTTAAATTGTTCAAATCATGACCCCCGGGGGTAGGGCGGGGCCACAATGTGGAATCAATGTTTTACATAGAAATATATAGGAAAAATCTTTAAAAATCTTCTTCTCAAGAACCACAGGGCCAGAAAAGCTGAAACTAATGTGGAAGCATCCTGGGGTAGTGTAGATTGTAAATTTTTAAAATCATGACCCCCGGGGGTAGGGCGGGGCCACAATAGGGAATCCAAGTTTTACATTGAAATATATAGAAACAATCTTTAAAAATCTTCTTCTCAGGAACCACAGGGCCAGAAAAGCTGAAACTAATGTAGAAGTATCCTGGGGTAGTGTAGATATAAATTGTTAAAAGCATGACCCCCGGGGGTAGGGCGGGGCCACAATAGGGAATCCAAGTTTTACATTGAAATATATAGAAAAAATCTTAAAAAATCTTCTTCTCAAGAACCACTGGGCCAGAAAAGCTGAAACTAATGTAGAAGTATCCTGGGGTAGTGTAGATTCTAAATTGTTAAATTGTGACCCCTGGTCATGGGACCACAATAGGTGTATTACATGGGGGAAAGTCTGGTGAAGAACAGCAGGGCCAAAGTTACTCAGGTGAGCGTTGTGGCCCATGGGCCTCTTGTTTTATTTCTAACATCTATGCCTATATTTAGCTTTAGGCGTTGTCATTGGTGATGTCGTCATGCTTGGTAACTGCTAGGTAGCGTTGCATCTTGGTTACTGTTGTTAGTTACTTACTTCGATCAGTGGCGAGTAGACGTGCTTTTCACAGAGCGACAAAAATCTCAAATATCACAATGAAAAGACAAAGATCTTTCGAGAGAAAGAGCAGGAGTGTGTCTAAGAGGGTAATCCTTCAGAAAATAAAGTTTTATGTCTTTTAATACTTGTTTTTATGAGATGCAGTGTCATTTAAAATTTTCAAAGACGTCAAAGTGGGTAACCTGATAGGAATGGCTGCCTTATTGACTTCTCAGTTTATTCAAATTAAATTTGAAACATTTGACACATAAAACAGGTATTACTTATTTCAATCGAGTAATGAATGGAAGGTTTACTGAAATATACTTTGTGACTCCTTACATTTGTAGGCCTATAAACCTGTTGGACAAACTTTAATGGCTGATTAGTGATTAGGCCTATATTTCCGTTCAAGATAATTCAGAATTTTGTGCTATCGTTCAAAAACAATTAAGGTGGAAGCACATACTCATGCATATAAAAAATTCAAAACACAGATTTAAAAAAAAAATTGGAGGAAATGCGGTATATAATAACAATCCATAAAATTAATGAAGCTTCATTTTTCTGAAATTTCCTTCAAAATATTGGTAATTTTTCTGCTGAACTCCATTTGGATCACACCCATTTGCAAACTTACTTCATTCAATACAAGGTGTTGATAGACTATTCGTTGTATAACCTTATAATCTTTCAAAACGTCGAACCCTCAACATGCAACATCTGTATCGGGAATGATAAACAAAGGGGAGCGTACTCTGCAGCAACTGTTATTTGAGTTACTCCCCCTTGGTATTTGATTTGGGTCTAAATTTCAATACTTTAATTTCAATATTTGATTTACAGTATGATATTTTATAATTGAGCCTCTATAATTCTCTTTAACTGGCATTTCAGCAAGGCTACTCAATGAACATTTCACAATTTTTTTTTCTCAATCTCATTTGACACGGAACTGTGAACAAACGTACCTTAACATCAAATGGCAATAACGAGTTTTTATTTCTTTCATCTTCAACTTTTGACCACACTAATGGCTATTTGAATAATCACAATATTTTGAAATAATTTTGCAATTCAAAATTCCAACCAAAGGATATCAAAACAAAAATAAATTCATTCAGAAATATTAAAATACATATCAATTAAAAATGAAACATAAAAAGAGCAAAAATCCTTAAATTGCATACAGATCAAGTTACAATATTTTTACGATTCTTTTCCACGGGGTCATAATTCCGCGGAATCACAATTTCTGTTTTATCCGCGGGTAGATATTTACAGGGATTTCTTGGACTGCCTTTATATGTATTAAAATTAAATCACTTAAATCTAAACATGATACTCTCTGACATATTCTAAAAAGTTGTGAATGCGTACATGCGTAAATTAATTCCAAGCGGGAAAAAGTGCCTATACAGTGTATATTTTGATGAAAAGTGGTAGGGGATTCTTTTGCCTTGAAACATACTTACTATCAAATAAAGTTAAAGAAAACCATCGTGAGCTAGGGGGAAAATGCAAATCTTCAAATGCTAATAAATTCTTTCTCATTTTATTTTAGCGCCGTATAGACACTTCTTCAGATGACAGTCGTCAGTGGTATGAGGTGATGCTTGCCCTGGCGGCCAAATCAGCTGTAAGTCTTCTCTCTCTCTCTCTCTCTCCAGTGAATACTCTCTTTAATCTCTATAATTTCTCTCCAGTGCAAACAAGTCTTTACTTCTGCTGCTCACGAATGGAGAGAGCACATTAAAGACTGGGTAAGAGTCGAAACAGGTGCATTTTATATACAGATGCAAAACATCCCAATGTATATCTGCATGTGTTCATGTCCCAAAACATATTTTTCTGTTAGTTGTACAAAATTTGATATTAAATTTATCAGAATTTTTCTTTTCTTTACTAGTATGAGTTGACCCATGCCATCAACAAATCTGAGGAGCGTAGGGAGCTTCCTACCATACCTCAACCTACGCACCAGGTAGGTGTCCAACTCACATTCTGTGTTCGAACGTACACGTATAATACTTTTTTGAACTCATACAAAATGTATGAAATTGGGAGGGAGGGGGAGGGCTTAGTGTTCGAACGTAATGGGTTTTTTTTTTTTTGGTTTTTTTTTTGCACTCATAGAAGATATATGAAATTATTAGCGGAGGAGGGATTCCAAGCTTTGGACGGTTGTGAGATTTTTTTAAAACTAAAGTTTACAAAATGATTATCTCTTACAGATGGAGTGGTTGGCTAGAGTCAATTTTGAGCACAGATCCATGCGCCGTAACATACCACAACAGAGACGTCATAAAGTCTCCGCCAAGAAACAAGACCTGAATTCCTCTTTTTATGTTTACTAAATAGAAGACTAGTATTGGTGAGTTAAACCTCCGGAAAATTGATTTTTAACACAGATATAATATAATAATTTTACACTTCCCTGTCTTTCAAAAAGAGGTGTAATTCGAAATCAGCAGATTATTAAAGAATTTTTTTAAAATGTTGATAAAGACAAATTATGAAGAGACAGGAAGGTATTGGGCCATGTCTTTTTTTTTTTGCCTGCCCCTCCTTTAAGTTACCTCAGACAAAGACTCAAGTGAGCTGTAAGTCTGATCGAGATTTTCTCACTGTCTGGTTTCTGCATTGGAGTTCTTGTCGTAAACTTCATCACATTATTATTTTCTTCTCCTCCACGATTGGGGCAAATTAGCCCAAATATCCTTGGGGGAGAGGATTTTTAATCTGTTCTATGGAAGTCCATACTCCCTTTTAAGGAGGGATAATAGAAAAAGGCAAAAATAGGGAAGGGTCATTAACTGGGCCAGAAAAGTAAGCAATTATATGTATGCTTTCTGATATAGTGAAGATTCAAATTTATTCAAATCATTCCCCCTGTACTAGGGTAGTGGCACAATAAGGGATCAAAAATAGCATGGAAATGGATTTGTATTTGGACTCAATGTTTTCTTTTTCATTTATTTTTCATATCTGCAGCTTAAGAGTTTACACTGTGTTTGTCAAATCATGTTCTCTTGAATTGAAGTGGAGCTAAATTTTTTTTCCATATATAGAACAGAAAGGAAATAATATTAGTCATTTAAACAATAAAATGCCTAGTCATTTAAACAATAAAATGCCTTCGCTGTTTATTTTAAAATGTGGGAGTTAATAGTTGCAACCATTGCAGACAAAAATACATAATCCGCGAAAGGTAATTAACAAAGAAAGAATTAAGACGGTTCTGACTATAGTTTAGAGTTAATGGATTGATTAAAGAAAGTCGTTTTAATAAAAATAAAGGAGAAAATATTCAGTGGATGTAAATAGAATGGTATTTAAGCACCCCCATGTTGTATAAATTCATGTTTTGTTGGTGTGTCTCCTTGGGGCTAGGATGGACCACAATATGGGGTCAAATGTTTTCATTTGACTTGTATAAGAGGGGAAAACATCTTCTTAAGAATGCCAGGGCGAAACAATCTAAATTTAAAAAAAAAAATGATGTTAAATTCTCTTGCATACTCAACTAAGGTGACGTGAGCGTTTTCTGTTCAAGGGCCTATTAACAGTTTAGAAACAATGTATCAGTTTTTCTATTTCGTTTTGGTTTAAGAACTAGGTTTAGTGTTAAGAAATAACACACAAAATCACAAGAAGGTCAAAGACTTTTAAATCTCCAATCTTTCGTCAAGTTTATTATGTGTTAAAAAATATGCACGTGCTCACTTGAGGAAAACATGTTGAAAGAGCTTAATGAAAATTCATCAGCAATTTGGAAAATTTTTCTATTCCACCATGTATATGTTCACTGTATAATAAAATACATCTATAATATTTGAGGTGTCATCAGTTTAAGTTCTACATTCGTAAATATCAAATAAGTGGCCAGGTGCAGCTATCCCTTTTCTCAACCTAAACGCTTTGATAAATATTCTAAAGTATCGGTATATGCAAGATATGAATTTTAACACTACATTTATTTCCTTTTTCTTGTAGGATATGTCTGCATGGGCGCCAATTGTTTACAAATATCAGAGACATACACTGTAATGGCCGCCGTAAACATCACAGTATCACTGCGCTTGGATTTTGTGTAACACGCCCCCTCTACATCACATTATCATGGGACTGTTGTACAAAGAACTGTAATAGCGTTAAATAAAAGACATTTCTGCATGTCTAGTGATGAATCTATATTATGGCAAAGTTATAACCATCTCGATCAGTGCCAGTCTTCCCCGAGTTCACACCTTTCCTGCATTGCATTTTCATAGAGTCTGGTTTTTGACTGTACAAAGTGTTATTTGGAACACAGTTCTGCATGCTTTGCAGATGCTATTTTTATCTGGCAATGTATGTGTTGGGCTAGCATTTTTTGGTATAATTTTATTATTATTATGTTTTAGGTTTCTTTGCTAGAATTAGATGATTAGATTAGATTAGTTGGTTAGTTAGTTAGTTATTTAGTTAGTTAGATAAGTTAGTTAGTTAGTTAGATAAATAGATAGATAGATAGACAGATAGATAGTTACTTCGTCTGCTCATATTCTCTTATTCATACACTATCTGTATATATGTATATATTATTTTTGTTTATATGTACATAGTTATGCATGATGTTTTGGTGTTAAATAAATAAAACTTTCTTAAATAAATGAATTTCGTTTTTTTCATTCGTCATTATCCAGAGAGGTAGGCAGTGATTGAGAATTAATTATTTTGATTTGTGTTAGATATCATTTGGTTTGTTTCACACTGATTAGATATCATTTGATGTATTAACTACGAGGGGTTATCAAAAGTTCGTGGACTGATGCGATAAAATTAATACTATGTAGTGTGTGCTTACAAAATTTATAAGGAACATAAAACAACAAAAGTTTCAGAAATGTTGAAAATTTTAGTTTGATACGTTGATAATTTGCCAAATTATTATATAATAAAAAAAGACATTATATGATCAACCGGCGCTGTCGCCGTTTAGTTTTGAACATCACGTCCCACGATGTCATTGTTTCTCAATGTCCGCCTCCTCTACCTAATACATTTATGTAATGGATATATGCCGAATACTGTTCTATATGTAAAATTATCAGACTGTTTGAGGCCCGTTAGGGCCGAAAACAGTCTGATAATTTTACATATAGAATTGTATGAGGCATATATCTTACTTAAAACATTGCTATTTAAATGTCCAAAAGTTACCTGGAGGAGTCCGATAATTACACAATAGGAGTTCAGGCATCAATAGTTTTCTACCTGAAACCATCTAATAAGTAGACAAAAGAAAAGAGAAAGTTTTTTTTAAGACAGTAAAATCAGTGAGTGAACTCTTTTGTTTCATTCATTCAATGGCAGTCGTTTGGCTTAGCAGGAACTATGGACAGTGGTCAGGTGATGAAGGGTTTTTTTATGATTCGGAATATTTTTTTTTTATTAAGTGCGTTTGACATTGATACAGATACAGTGTTGGATGATATCTTCGCGCATTTAAAGTAATAATGCGGATTTTTATCTAAATTTTGATTGGATGATATAATGAAAATCTTGGGTTTTAAAAGTGCGGTCATCATGGTCATTGGCGAACAAACCTCGTTAAATGAAGAGATTCGCAGACTGGTTCTTTATCAGAAAAGGATTTAAATTGGCTTATTCCCAATGATGTATCGAAAACGCTTTGCAAAAAAAAACTGAATGGAAAAAGTGTTACTTTTGAGGAAGTTTAAGACTCCAGTTTCTTCTTGGATTTGCTATTTTTAACTTAATATCCTCGCGTTCGCTTACCCTGAATTTTTTCTCCCTAACTTTTTTTTTGGTTTCTGGACAAATTAAACCTTGATTTCACTCTTGTTGTTGTTTTTTAACTACTGTCCGATTTTGTTATCACTGCCGTCCGATAATATATTATTGGACTGCTTATCATTATTATCGGACGACTATAGGTAAATTTTTAGACTGCAAGAACAAAGGCATGACGTCACAGCAATGTTTTAATTTTATTGATAAGATTCCCTGGAGTTAAGTAATTACCTAAACCTGTCTTGTTTATTTGACTTTAAAATATCACGAACAGCTGTTTTAAATGCATATAATATTGTAAATGGATCTATACATATAGAAAGATCCTCACTTGATTATGCCAGCATATTTTGCTTGTCGGAGTTCAATATCTACCATACATGATCAACGTCACTTTTCAACATGATTGACTTTTGACACGTGACTACAAATCGACATTAATTGTGCATCTCTCTGAACCTTTTCAGGCATTTAAAAACAAATACTCTGGATGGATTTTATTTCTCTGTAGTCCGACTAAACATTCTCTGGATGGATTTTATTTCTCTGTAGTCCGACTAAACATTCTCTAGGGCAATACCAGTTTTTCCAGGGGCGAAACTTTATAGAATGTTGGAAAAAGGAACCCCTCCCCCTCTTTGACGTCATTTTCAAGCCCTTAATTTTTTGGACATTCCATATAAAATTTACGATAAAATTTTATAGAACTTACAGAATGAGGAAAAAATTGCAAATTTTACGAAGCAATTGTGTCATACTACATGCCTGCATTATAACGGAATTTTTTCCAAATATTTATATCAAAAGAGTTTTTCTCAGCTACACTCAGGTAGAAAAAAAAACATTATTTTCGATCCGCCTGAACATACCATTGCTTACAAAAACATTAACAATTTATTAAAAAATAAAACTAATGATTTGTGGTTCATTCTATAAGTAGAAAAGATGATGCTAACTAAATGTGTTAAAATTCATTGATGTACCTAAAGCGATTTTAATTTGATGGCGCTAGTCCACGAACTTTTTGATAACCCCTCGTATTATGAAAGTGCATGTGATACATGTATTTACATTAATATTTGAGGTAGTAGATACTGATAGCTCAGTCGGTAGAGCGCTCGCTCCGTGATCGGAAGTTCGTGGGTTCAAGTCTCGGTCATGACAATCGTAAGTTGATAGAAAGTAGGCAGCAACGTTCCTTCGCCAAGCTTTCGGCACTTAGAAGTGAAAGTTGCGAACCTTTCGGATGAGACCTTAAAAAATTGAGGTCCCGTGTAACGATACAGAATCTCTCTGCCCAATGACCCTGAGTGTTGAGTAAAAAATGTAAGAAAAAAAATGTGTTTGTGAAACACTGATGCCCCCGTATGGCAGCTTATGGCTAAGGTTAAAGTTTCTCAAATGCAAGTCAAACTCCAGGTCAAGAAATCAAAAATGTTGGTACCCAAAGAAAGGTCTTGTCTCGAGAAATATACCCGAGAAATATACCTGTGAAATATGAAAGCCCTAGTACAAACCGTTGAAAAATTATGGCAAAGGTTAAAGTTTTTTCAAAGTAAAACGACAAGGT